CGAAATACTAATAACCACTTCTCCCAATCATTACTAATTGAAAGTTCGTAGTTCGTACGTTTTGAAAGATCATTCAAATCGGATGCTCCGTTCTCTCAAAAACTCGATTCTAATTTCTGCACTCTTTGCTCTTTATCTCCGTAACTGCTGGACCTGCATTTGCCAAAAACTAATCAGCACATCTCCTTATCAATAGAAATCGAATGTTTTTTGAACTATTCAAATCGGTTGATCCGTACGCCCGAAAACGTGGGCGAAAAATTGTATTCATACATACATACACACACACACACACGCACACACATTCATTTTTTCTGAAGTATGCCAAAATGTTCAGAAACCTTCAAAACGTCGAGAAATGTAAAAATTTTCAATTCCGATATTTCATTACGATAACTTACTACGGGAAGTTAATAATATTGTAATTATTAAAATGTTTAAAACGAATTATTAACAAAAATGGCAATAAAAAGATTTCAAAAGAATCCTTAACAAATATATTATATCATGAGTATATTACATCAAACCTCTATGAATAAGTAACAATATACTTATTTTTACCCATTACGATCCATAAAATTTGCTCAGCGTATAAAATGGTATTCGAATGGCGATTCGAATTGACTCGATGACGTACTGTAGTAATAACCGTTTCGTAACAACTTTTTAACATCGTAAACCTTTCCAACGGTCGTGGCAAGTCGCAAGTATTTTTTACGGTGTGAGAAGGTCGCACGGCACTTAACTAGTGTCCAAGCAGAACTATAAGTTTTCGCAAAATCGGATTAACCTTTTCCCGTGGTTCCTAGCCTTGATTCCAGTCGAAACAGTACAGGAAGCGATTTATTGGTTCGGATGCGAAAGTTCGAGCGTAGATCAGCGATGTGGCTCCGGGGATGCGGTAAAGTTTAAACTTTAACTTGTTGGAGCTCATGTGATTATGGTTAGTAAATGTAAAAAATGAGCATGGTTAGCAACATGTGTGACTAGTAAGGATTATTGCACTCTATTATTAAAATCTGTTCTAGGTTCCGTTAAATTTAATTAGAAGTGCCCTATTGTGTTTAATTCATAGTAGAAAGTTGTGACTGATAGAATTCATAATTTTACAAACATTAATAGGGTAGAGCGGGGCTTAAAGGTCTTTGGGTACAAAAATCCACCACCACTATCTCAAAAACAAGTAAAGTTAAGAATTTTTTAACAACAATATTTGAAAGTAGAGGGTAAAAGATATATACCCAGCCATTACCTTGCTTACAACGTGCTATCAGGAGCTTAACGGCAAAGTATATAAATCTATAACAAAAGTATTTATTTTAGATGTTAATTTTATTGGTTGTGAGCACTGTTGTTTAGTTTACGAGACAATCGAGTAGGGTAAGTTTTAACTTAAAAAACTTGAAAATGAAAAGTTTTATATATTTTTACGTTTCAAAGGTTTTTGAATATTTTGGCATACCATAGAAAAAATAGATATATGTGTGTGCATGTGTGTATGTGGTTGTGTATGCGGATACAAATTTTTGTCGACGATTTCGGGAACACCGATCAATCGATTTGAATATAATTCAAAAAACATTCGATTCGTATTGATCAATCATCATCAACATCATTACGGCTTGCTTATGAATAAATAAAGAGACGTGCTGATTAGTTTTTGGCGAAGGCAGGTCAAGCCGTTTCGAAGATACGGAGCAAAAAGTGCGATTTGAACGATTTGAATGATTCAAAAAAGATTTAACTTGTATTGACAAGATGAAGAACTGATTAAATTTTTTGGAAATCAGGTCCAGCGGTTATGGACTTTCAATAAAAATAATTTAAATAATGTCATTTTGCGGTCAAAAATGCTTATGGTCTTATGTACATCAAATTATCAGATATTTTAATAATGTGTATACATTGGGTTCCACTTTTGTTTACCAAGATTTTTAATTACTGTACGCGAAGTTTCAGCAACTTGCCTTAAGGCTCGATGCTATGCACCCCACTAGTTTTAAGTTAGATTCAACAATTTTTTTACATAACCTTTATAAAAACTCACATGTGGATAGGGTAAAAAGGACCAACTAAACCTTTACCCTGAGAAAATGTAAACAATAAAAAATAGTAAACAAAACAGTAAATTGAGATAACAAAAGCAATTTTACAAGAAATAAATTAAATAAATACTTATTGAAACAATGTTGATAATTAAGTTTAACGATATACTAAATCAAGTGTTAACTTTGTGAAAATTCTATCCATAAAATTTTTGTGATATCCATTTAAAATTAAAAATAAGACATTGTATATATTTGCCCGATGGCTGTCTCTATTTACCCAGCCTATGGGGTAAAAAGAAACAGGTGACAAATGTTAAAAAATTAGCAAAAAAAACATATTTCTACAATGATTAATTAACTGGGAGTGTTATTGAACATATCCATTATATAGATATGTTTTTATTATTTGTTGTGATGTAATTGGTTTGGTTTTCACAATATAATTGCTCAAAGTCCTGTTAGACTTTTGTGCTCCGCTCTACCCTATATAATTATGTGAAAATGTTCAATTTTGTATAATTAATAAACCCATATTTTTCGTCCAATATCTTACTAATACCTTAGGCATACCTTAGAAAGAATAAATGTATGTGTGTGTATGTGTGTATGTGTGTGGTTCTATTATAGATTTTCAAACATTGCCGTTTATCTCCTGATAGCAAAGTCTTAAAGATCAAGGTGATGGTTGGTCATACATCTTTTGCCCTCTACTTTTAAATATTATTGTTAAAAAATTTCTAACTTTACTTGTTTTTGATATATAGGTAGTGAACGTTTTTACCCACGGACCTTTATATTCGACAATCACAGTTGACTGAATAAACTTAATATAATATTTGTATAAATCCAGTGAAACGTTCCAAATTATAATCACCTTTATATAATTTTAGTACCACAATTGGCGGAAAATTTAAAAAATAAAAATAAACAAAATATTTAATTTAAAATTTCTGTATCTCATCAGGTCCTGTATCTTCTATGTATGAAATTACATTTACGCATAGCCATGAATTCAGCAACGTGCGCGTATTCTGTAAATTCTGTATGATATATGTGTTAGTTTTCGTGTTAGTTATGTAATCAGGAGTTTCTCTCCAACCGACCACCACCCATTCTCAGTCCAAAATTTAAACCAATGTATAAGTCTACACTCCCATCTTAACTAATATATTCATGTGTACGACAATATTACTTATGTGTATGCACAATCCGGCTTGAATGTCAGCTGAGATTTAATTAATGTGTTTTATTGTATTCATTAACAACTATTTGAATAGTGAATCTTTTAGTTTGATTAGCTTGATAATTGGAATATCGATTAGTGTTCCAAATAATGGTCAACAGTAAACACTAAAACTTGTTATTTAAACTTAATGTCCTATCGATTTTTAACTTCTCGAAGAAAAAGTTTATGTTTTCACTAAAAATTCTGACTTGCTAATTTTATGTCTCCTCGACGATTGAAGTCATTCTGAATCGTTTGAAACCAAATTTGAAAAAAATTATGTATGTATATGTGCAGTGAACCGATTTTTGACACTTGGTCGATTTTTTTTCAAAAACGGCTGCACCGATTTAAAAAATTTAAAAGTCATTCAAATTAACTCTATAGAGACTCATGGTCTTGAGGAACATACTAAAATATATGAGGTCTACGACAAGTAGTTTAGTTATAAAAATTAATGAAATTTCGAATTAATTCGCCGCGCCTTTTATATTATCAACAATAAATTTTGAAAATAGTAAACCTATCTTCAGTATGAACTACGCTCATCCTCAATTTCCGACTTTAACTATTTTTAAAAAATTAGAGAGTATCAAAAAAGGTTGCATGAAAGATTTTTTTAGACAGTCGCCAATTTGTGAAAAAAAATTGTGAACGACTGAAATGTCCGTGAATATTTCTTACGAAGTACAAGATCAAGGTTATATACAATGTTATCTCTGTCAAATGTATCTATGAAATTTATATTTTGCAATGGTTAAATATTGTAGCCATTATATCGTAAAATCCCTTAAAATTAAAAATAAGTCATTGGATCTGTTTGCTTCATGACTGTTTAATATTAAATGGGAATTTCGCTGAAGATTGTTCAATAGTTGTTTGTTGTGATTTAGTTTATTTGGTTTAGAAGATAGTATAATTACTTAATGCCAAATTGGACCTTTATGCTTTATCCTACCCTACCAGTCATATAAAAGTGGCAGAATATTGTGTATTGATGAGTATAATTGTCATGATGATGTCGGTATGATCGCCACAGTTGACTGGTTAATAGGTGAAGTAACATTTGTAATCTCATCCATAAAAATGATATATTTTTTTTATTCTCTATTTTATTTACAACTGTCCAGTTAAGGACATTTAATAAATTTGGGAATTTACAATTAGCCGTAAAGGGACATTGTATACTAAATGGGCATGTTCGAAAAACAACTCAGTAGTTGTTTTCCCATTCGTTATAATGTTAACAATAGTTTATTGATAATTATATAATATTTACTATTTAGTTATAAATAATGACTAAGTTATTTCAATCTTTATCAGGAAAATTGATGACTTAAATCCAGTGGCGCTTTTGTTTTCAACCAACGCCGATATAGTTCTCTGTTATTAATGAGTTTGCTAGTGATGATACAATTTTTGGCATATATTTTATGACGAACGAATTGAAATACTCGCAAGGAAATAGCGTTACGTTCGAAATAAATATTATCAAACAAATCCTCGGAGCTTGTCGTACCATTTACATATTACATCTCTGAATAGTCAAAAGCATTATGTATGTGTAGGTAGTATCTGCATGGAAGCCTTTCTCCACTAGGCGGCCAATGTCCTCTTCGCGAAATGAGGGACGCAGTGGCCCAGTATCGATCCTGCGTGAAAGGACCCGTTCCCGAAATTTTCGACTCTACTCACCTCTCTCACCACCTCTATTTGAAACCTCCTTTTCAACTCCCGAACGGCGAACGGCGAACGAATGCCGGTACTAAGGAAACTGGTACACGATCTCCTCCTCCACCGGACTCATCCCACGACGAACGGAACGCAACGCGAGTTGTGCTGTGAAATGGGGTTGCGTAGTCCTGTAAAGTCCTAGAGTCCTGCTGCCTCGTGGCCAGAGGGGATGACTGGAAAGTATGGTTGTCAAATAGTGAGAGGTTTTAAAGTTTATTTAAAATCGTAATAAATTATTATTTTAATTACCAACTGGTATATTTTGTAACGTATTGGTTGAGCATATTGCCTTATGTCAACGGGATGGTGCACCACTTGATTATAATAATTATAGGCATTTGATTCAACATTTAGCCAATTGCAGCATTTTGCATTCTCATACCACGTACTAACTTTTTGCATCGTATTCTTTTGAATTTATTCGGCATATTATATTTTTATAATATTTTATTATATTATTTTATTAACATTTTTAACTTCCCGGTGGGTCATAATAATTCTCAAAAAATCGGTAATGAGAATTTTTTCATATCTTTACTTTTCAAAAGTTTCTGAACATTTTGGCATACCTTAGAAATAATTAATGTGTGAATGTGTGTGTGTTTTGTGCGGATACAATATTTTGGCCACGATTTCGGGCGCACGGATCAACCGATTTAAATCATTCAAGAACTATAAGATATTCGATTCCTCTTGATGGCAAGTGGTGCAAAGGGCGCAGAAAGTTTTTGGGGAAACAAATGATCCGATTTAAATGATTCAAAAAATAATCAGTTTGTAATGATGGAGATACGTAGCGATTAGTTTTTGCAAAGATAGGTCCACGCGTTTTGGAGATACAAGGAAAACCTTGCTAAAAAAGACAGTTTATAAAAGAACAGAGCATCCAATGAGAATAATTCCAAAAACATTCGCTTCTTATTGATGAGGAGACATGCTGATTAGTTTTCTGCTATGACATGTCCAGCCGTTTCGGAGATACGGAGTAAAAAGTGCTAAAAAATAGCAGTTTCTGAAACAAAGGAGCATGCTATAAGAATGATTAAAAATGTATTCGATTCGTATTGATGGGGTGACGTGATGATTGGTTTTTTGCAAAGGTAGGCCCTGCCGTTTCAGAGATGCGGAGCAAGAATTGCAAAAATTAGCATTTGCTTAGAAAATGGATCATCTAATTAGATTGATTCAAGTAGAGGGGTGCATGGCATTGTGCCTTAAGGCAAATTGCTGAAAATGTGTACACATTATTGAATTCTTTATAAAATATCTGATAATTTGATGTACATATGTCCAATAAACATTTTTGACCGCAAAATGACATTTTTTTAACTTGAGGGTCCATAACTGGTGGACCTGACTTCCCAAAAATTTAATCAGTTGTTCATCTTGTCAATACAAGTAAAATGTTGTTTGAATTATTAATATCGGACGCTCCGTTCTTTTAAAAACGGAGTTACCGCTTGTGGCACAGTTTTCCCCGTATCTTCGGAACGGCTAGACCTGCTTTCGCCAAAAACTAATTAGCACGTCTCCTTATCAATACGAATCGAATGTTTTTCGAATTATTCAAATCGCTTCATCCGTGTTCCCGAAATCCTCGACGAAAATTTGTATCCGCACACACACTCACACATACACACATACACACATACACATACATACATACACACTTACATCAATTTTTTTTAAGGTATTTCAAAATGTTCAAAAACCTTTGAAACATAAAGATATAAAAATATTTATTTTAAATTCTTTTGCGATTACTATAACTTACCCTAGGCGAAAGTTAAAAAACATATTGCTTGTGTTGACAGTGTAAAGAAATGATTAGTTTTTGGTTAAGACATATTTTTTATTGCAAAATTTCCAAAAAACATATTTTTTAAAATATCGAAAATGACGGATGATGAATATCGGAAATGATTGGATTTTAATTTTAATTCTTGAAATAAATAGAGCTAACTTTGAAATTTAGTTCATATCATTCTTAGAAAAATGAATTAATGTTCTGTAATTCTAACTCCGCTTGATTAAGTTTTGTTTATGTAAACATATATAAACTTAGCGGAACAATTTGTGAGATTTAATATTTTGTCTATAAAATACGAATAATAAAAGTTACAGTATGTATAAAAATCTCTTTAAAAACTTTTAGTATTCCTCGAATATTTTATTACGGTCCGGTAAGTTCCAGAAATTTGCTCTAAAGCATGATGCGCCAAGCATCACTAATTTATAATTGTTGATCGATAATATATAAGACAGATAAGTCTAAAAATATAATTTATATAATTGTGAATCTATTAAAAATCGTTTGAGAAGCGTCTCTCGACGGCAGGCCGGGGGCAGTTTAGATGGAGCCTGCGGAAGTTCGAGCTTCTCTTTGAGTCCGACAACATGGGGGCACGACAAGGGACGAAGAGAGAGATGTAGACGAATGTAGTGCCGTACGTATACGAAAGGGAAAGGATTGAGGGAGTCTCTCTAAACAGAGGGAGTTTAGAGAGGGTTTGCGGGTGGTCTTTCACTTGGGGGTAACTCGCGCGGACCGAGTTAAACCCACTCATCGTTCGGGGTGGAGGGTGTGGAGATGGTACAACTTCAGGACTAGAACATGTGTGCCTAGCTATGCGAATTGTTTTAATGAGCGCGGGCTCAGGATATAGATTAACTATTTACAAGCGTTCTCCTGTGTGTGTGTGTGTGTGTGCGTATGCGTGTTCAAACTCAAAACGTCCAAGGCTTATGTAGTCTGACAGCTGGTGAACATTACACCATTAAATAGAATAGGATAACTTCAATCTAATTGATGAATATACGTGACAAATCTGCTTGGACGATTTATATTCAACATAGGAAGGAAAGTCCGAAAATATGTCTTCACCTATAAATAAAACTTAATTATTTTATAAAATATAAAATTAATCTCTAATATGTCAAGTAGTATGGGAGACTGGGTACGGTTGTGCCAAGTTACAACATTACCATGATCTGTAGACCAAATTGCGTTACGGTGTAAACAGTTGTCATAACAGCTAAAAGATACTGATTTTGAGATAGGGTCCAAAGGGAGAAAGATGGCGTACGTTTGTTCAAATAAAACTTAATTTTCATATAAAATATAAAATTAATCTCTAATATGTCAAGTAGTATGTGACCAGGTACGGTTGTGCCAGGTTACGGTAGTGACAGTCGTCATTACAGCTAAACTATACAGATAGGGTCCAAAGAGAGAAATATGAAGTACGTTTGTTTGAACAAGTTTCCATTATTGCATTGAGTCAGCGCTCTACATTAACATGATTTGTAGACCAAAATGCTTTTAAAGAGCCAAAAGTATCTAAGTTTTTTGTTCGATTTTTTTTCTGATAATAACTGTTATTTGTATGCAGACAGGACGACTTTGTTTGTTATTTTGCTATAAGTTAAACATTAGTAGTAAATTGCCAGTTTTCGCCAATTTTGTTTATGTAGTTTTTATGTTAACATATATAAACGTAGTCATCATATATAAACAAGTATAAAGTCATTCAATTTATAAACTCTTCTATTTTGTCCATAAAATACGAATAATAAAAGTTACAGAATTCATAATAATCTATTTAAATTTAAAGAGAAAGATGAAGTATATTTATTCGAACAAGTTGCCATTATTGCATTGGTTCAGCGCCTTACATTAACATTAAAAACTAATGATCTGTAGACCAATTTGCTTTTAAAGAATCAAAAGTAAGTTTTTTTGTTCGATTTCAAAAATTTAAAAGCCATTCGATGTAACTCGTTAAGGACTATGGTTGATTAGTTTTGTGCGACGACTGGCCGAGCCGTTTATTTACTACTAGCACAAAAAAATAAAATTTTTAGGCCACGTTTTAACCTACAATCCTGAATCGACTTTAAAAATTTAAAAGCTATTGGAAAGATATTGGTAAGAAATTGTACTGATTTGTTTCAGGTAATTTTAGAATTTTATTATAATGATAGAGATAATGTTATTTCTAAACTAATATTGAATTATTATAATTAATTAGTAAGAAAGACTTACAACAAATCGCTTAATTTTAAAAAAAAGCATCAAAGTTGGAAAATGAGCTTTTTGGTATGACTTTCATCAACGTTTTCTCGAAAACAGCTCAAATTTAATTTAAAAATATTTAAAGTTTGAATAATTACTTTGTGCAAGTATTAGGCGCGTTTTCAATTTGCCTTTTCAATAATATGTAATAATTAAAACTTTTGTAAAAAATATCTAACAACTATAGAAAATTTGTACAAAACTGAATAATCTGCAATAGTTTCTCACATTATAATGTCCTGCAGCAACTTAGTACCCTTATAAATCTTATTTCATTATAATCACTTATAATAGATTAACATTTTTTTAATTGAAATTTAATCAGTAGCCTTAAGACAAGTTGCATAAACTTAACAACATGTTTAAATAATCTATTTAATCATTAAATAGATTATTTAAACATGATGTTAAATTGCAACTTGTCTTAAGGCTACTTGTATAAACCACATACACCTAGTTTAATTTTGAAATGAAATATAATTATAAAATGTAATTTAAATTTTAAACATTTAAAATATTTGAGCAAATCTTTCATATATACGAGGTTGTTGATAAATCTACTATAATTTTGTATTTTCTTCCTACCATTAAGCCTCCATCGACGCATGTTTAAATCGTGTATATATTTAAAATTAATAATTATTCCCCACATTGATTACATTTCATTTATGTATAATATAAACAGTAAAATTCTCACCGACTGGTCGTTTATAAAGTAAACATAGTGGACTATGTTTTGAGTCGGTGTCGGTGTGTATGCCTATTTCGGTGTGAGCGAAATGTTTCAAGATCATATATTATATGGGCACATGTGCAGGGAATTAGATCGGCGATCTTGAATTATTACTGCGAGCCGAGAGTGCGTTGAAAGATTGATCTGTAAATTGGAACGTTATATTTTTATATCAAAACTCGCAGAATCAGTTTGATTACTTACTCCGCTTGTTATGAGATAGATCGTGCAATTTTAATGGTGGTAAATGATTTTAATGTAGGATAGGGCGGGGCACAAAGATCCAATTTGACTTTGAGCAATTATATTGTGAAACTAAACCAATCACATCACAATTAATAACACATATCACATCAACAACTATCTGACTATGTTCGGTAAAACTCCCAGCTGATGCATCACTGTAGAAAGGTGTTTTTTTGCTGTTTTTTAAAAATTGTCACCTGGTTCTTTTTACCTATTACGTGAAGTAAAATAGCACGGCCAGGATGCATACAGGTCAAATGTTTCATTTTTAATTTAAAAGAATTTTACGAAATAATATCTACACATTATTAAAGCGAGGGGGGTTTGACAAAAAATCACGAAAAATGACGTGGGGGAGGGAGGGATCTAGTTAGATTTCACGTGTATTTATTTTTTACCTAAATTTTCAAAAAAATACGATTTTTTCGTAAATTCCAAAAATTTGTTCGAAAATTGAATTAACTAAAAATACACGTGATGCTTGGGGGAGGGGGGTAATTTTAAATATCACGACATTTCACCAAGAGGGAGGGAGGATCCAAAAATCCTTAAAAAACTGATCACGTGATTAATGGACGCCCCCTTATTGCACCGATGCAAAATATAAATTTTCTGGGTACATTTTTTACAGAGACAACTCTGTATATAACCTTGATCTGATATTTTGTCAGAAATATTCATCAGGAGAGTTGGAATATCAATTTATTTAATTTAACTCTCGTAAAATAGTATTTTATTAAGTTAATTTACTATTTTTTATTATTTGCACTTTTACCATGGTAAAGGTTCAGCAGTTCCTTTTTAAGGTTTAATAAAAAAAACTGTTGATTCTTACCTAATATTAATGATACTTCTTATGAAATAATTAAATAATGTTAAAAATTATATTTAGGTCTCGTAAACTAAACAACAGTGCTCACAACCAAAAAAACTAACAACAAAGGAAAATACTTTAGATATGGATTTTCAAACATTGCCGTTTATCTCCAGAAAGCGACGTCTTACGAGTTAAAGTGATGTTTTTCCCTCTACTTTCAAATATTGTTATTAAAAAATTCGTAACTTTACTTGTTTTTTATTTATCGGTTGTGGACCTTTTTACCGGCGGACTTTTACCGTGTTTGATTATTCGTTTTAGGAGTATCTTTATAAAAATTCGATTACATTTGTGCAAGAAATGTCGTAATTTTTGTGGTAACTTTCTGCTCTACATGAACGATTATTGTAACGCTTGGCTTGTCAAATGAAAGTAACTTGAAACATAAAGTTTCTCTATTTTCGCTGAATGCGACAGACAAGATAATTGAAAATATTTTAAATTACATCTTTTCGAATAAACGAATGTCACTTTATTTACAAATTAGTTGTAAAGTATAGTGGTGTATGGCATCGTGCCTTAAGGCAAAATGCTGAAACTTCCCATACCCTAATGAAATATTCGAGGAATATTAAATGTTTAGAACTTTAGCTAGAATTAGAATTAAAATCCGAATTGTTTTTCGAAATTCAATTTTTTTTTTGAAAATTAAAAAAAAAAAAAATTAAAAAAATTCGCTACCCAAAAGCAATTGTTTCGTCAACACAAGCAGATAGTTTTTTGAATAATTCAAATCGGATGCTTAGTTCTCTCAAAAACTGCCATTTTTGCACGTTTAGCTCTGTATTTCGAACACGGTTGGAACTGCCTCTTCTAAAATGTAATTACCACTTCTCCCATCATTACAATTTGAATACTTTTTGGATCATTCAAATCGGATGCTTCGTTTTCTCAAAAACTCGATTTATATTTTCTGCTCTCTTTGCTCTGTATCTTCGGAACGGCTGAACCTGCCTTTGCCAAAAACTAATCAGCACATCTCTCTATCAATAGAGATCGAATATCAAGTCGGTTGATTGGTGCGCCCGAAAACGTGGACGAAAAATTGTATACATACATACACACACATCCATTTTTTCTAAGGTATGCCAAAATGTTCAGAAACTTCTGAAACGTGAAGATATGCAAACATTTTCAATCTCGATTACGGGTAGTGTATTTTTAATCAAATATCTATATTACTACAAAGTCAGTTATGTTGATGATCAATTGTTGATGGAGAATAATATGGTTATTTTTTCGAATATATCATCATATCTATTCAATTCGTATTGTTCACCTTAAATTAATCAAATCAAATTCGGTTTTTATATCTGAATTTAATATGTCGAATCTAATGCAGGGATCATGACACCTTTTTATGAGAGGATTCATATATTCATTCGGTCATACAAGTTATGCTGGCTTAACGGCTTCTGGTTTTTCGACTTACATCAGTGTCCAGATAAAATCCCATTGAAAATACATAGTATCTTCTAACAGCAACATATCACAAATAGAACTCTTAAATCTCGTACGCACATATCACTGAACAAATTCCTGGTGAGATTGAAACCCTTTTCTTATAGACCATATATAAAGACATATGTAATTCCCAATTTGAAGAATGGAATATTATTGTGGTAAAGAAATGATATCAGGCAGAAGACTCTATTAGAAACGAAATTTGATATTGATACAGGAAGGAGTCTTATGAGAGGGACAAAGGGGATAACAACAAATAAGTCTTTAAATTTTGCAAATAGTAGCTAAGCTGATTTTCACACAAAATTAACATAAGATGAATGAAACAATATTAGATTCCCGTAGGGTAAATTATAGTAATCGCAAAAAATCAAAACTAAATCTATTTATATATCTTTACGTTTAAGAGGTTTTTGAACATTTAGGCATACCTTAGAAAAAATAGCTGTATGTGTGTGTGTGTAATGTGGGATACAAATTTTCGGCGACGATTTCGAGAACACGGTTCAACCAATTTTAATGATTAAAAAAACATTCGATTCCTGTTGATAAGGAGACGTGCTGATTAGTTTTTGGTGAAAACAGGTTCAGCCGTTCCGGAGATACGGAGCAAAAAGTACCAATAATAGTAATTCAATTTTTGAGAGAACGGAGTGTACGATTTAAATAAATCAAAAACATTTTACTTGCATTGACGAAATGAACAACTGGTTAAATTTTTGTAAAGACAAACCCAGCGTCAATACATTCAAAAAATGTTCAAAATTTTCAAAAAAAATCAAATTTTTCAAAGTATTCAGAATTTCTCAAAAATCTATTTTTTTCAAAGATTTGCAATTTTTTTAATAATTTAGTTTTCGGTACGGGAAGTTCCAGCAAATTGCCTT